ATCGCCATGCCAGCTTTTGCGAGTGTGTGTGTCGAAACCCTAAAACTCTCTTATTCCCGCAACCCAGAGACTTCCAGCAGACCCTGCAGAGTGTAATGTAGGGGCCTACGTAATTACCTATGTTAGTTTGGGGGTTTCTTATCATAAATACAGTATAATGGGGCCCAATATGCTATTCAAATTATTAAGGCCCCTACGCTAGGTCGGTGGATAATGATTTAGGGCATCTCTAAGGGTCCATTATCCGTATGAGTATACTTTGACCCTAAAGTACCTGTATAGGGGCTACGTTAAGGTCTACGTACCTACTATTTGGGTACATGGACCCTTACGGGTATCAGACGGTTTGCAGTCCTTATTTGCAGCCTCTGGTTTTCAAAGGGGCCCCAATCACGAGAAAAAGACTGCTTTGCGTTTAGGCTATAGGGGTAGGGTTTAGGCTTTGGGCGTTTAGGGTTTAGGGGTTTAGGGTTTAGGGGTTTAGGGTTTAGGGTTGGGTCTTAGGGGTTTAGGCTTCGGAGACCGTAGTCCTGCATGCCTGTAGTTGGGCTTCGAAGATACCCTTCAAACCAATCCTAAACCCACACATCCAAAGCTTTGCTCTCTGCCATCTGAGAAGTAAAAAAATCACAAAGCCCAAAACCCCACCAAGCCCCCAACCCCTGGATTTGTTTCAAGTTGTTTGATGGCGCAGTCGGGTCGGCCTGCTCGGCCTTGTGACTTCATGGTCAACAAATGCTGGCTTCAGAAAACTAGGAGTACCTAACCTAGGGCTCCTTGTGGTCATGTCTACTTGAGAAAACCGGGGACATCGCGCCACACTCCTCCGAAAAGCTCCAACCTGCCGCCCACGGAATTAGAAACACTATCCCTCTACAGTCCCTGTATACATATATCTACACAGAAGTAAGACTAAGTAGTCTTGACAGTCTTGATCTTATTCTTATAGACGTATACATGGTTATAGCATGATATGCCCAGACATCCGAGGTCCGATAGTAGTACACGCGCCAAAGCCTCACAGATAGAGTTCCCCTGCAATGCATATCAGGGTAGTTCAGCAGAATACACCTCAAATAGTAAGCCATAGTTTTAAGTTGTGCACCCAAAGTCGCAGTTCACCTAAATGCCAGGATGGCAGCCCCAACTGGAATGAGGTGGGATTCGCCCGGGCTGGTGGATGTGAGAGTTTTCTCTCACCCTAAACTCTAAAACCCTAAACCCAATAACCTAAACCCCTAATTCCCTATATACCATGAACCCATAAACCCACAAACCCTATAAGCCCTAAACCGTCGCTGGTACACTTCTAAACCGTCGCGCGTTGATTTCTGAATTCAATTTTGCTGGTCTGGGCGTTGCTGGAGTTCTGTGGTAGCGGGAAAGACTCATTGTTGTGCCTCAAACTTGTGGCTGGGTTTAGGGTTCAGGGTTCAGGGTTTGGGGTTCATATGTCAAAGCGAGGTGTGACGCCTCGTGTGACCTTTGAGATTGCCACGTCCGGAAGCGTTCGAGACTCCTTCTGGGCATCTTAGACGAACCTGTAACCGTGTTGTGCTAAAAGGGGCTGCATGTTTCAACAAGCTCCATCTGTTGATAGTGGCTGCTGTACGGGTGATGAGCTTCAGACTCGCTTCTGCCTGGTGGCTCACCTTCCACAGCTCGCAGGTGTCGGCACCCATTGGTGGGAAGGAAACGCCCCAGACAAGCCTGTGGAAGATCCCGTGGGGGTGATGTTCGTCGTCTTGGATGTTCTTGAATTTGTTCCTTTGATGTTAGTTTTGATGTTAGTGGTGCTGGTGATGACAGCTGTAGTGGTCGTTGTCGTCCTTGTCGTCACGGTGGTTGGGGTTCGCGATGGTACCTTTGAGAAGAGCAGCCTGCGGCAACAGACCGTGGAGCTGGAGAGGCTAAAAAGTATACTTGCAGATATGATCTACCAGCTCAACAGGGGTCCGTGCTGGTGTTCTCGCTGTTTTTGTCGCGATATTTTTTATAGTAGTTTCGGTGCAAGGTCGGCCACCTTGGTGTTCAACTCCCAAAATTCTCAACCCTTAAACCATAGTGGCTTGGCAGGTTCCGGCCATCGGGACCGTGCCCACCGCCAGGGCAGACGCCGCGACTGTCCTCACATCGACTGGGCCTCTGGGCCGCCTGGAAGAGGGTTTAGGGTTTAGGGTTCAGGGGTTTAGGGGTTTTGGGGGTGTAGGGGTGTAGGGGTTTAGGGTTTAGGGTGACGTAAGCTTGAGCGCTTATCGATCTCCTTATTTTATGGAGCTTCATGCTATGGGGTTATACCCCTGTCATACTTACTGCTGATGTGCTTTTCGAGTCCTTACTATAAGGAGTTCATCACATGCTTTCCCAAGGCACCATGCTTTATAGAGGCTTATGAGTTTTTATATAAGGGTTTCACGAGCTGGGGTGTCAACAGCCCGAAACGTCGAAAGGCTCTATGGGATTACGTCGGGGCTCTGAGTAACCTCTACTTCTTTATGGTAGTCGCGGTTTAGGGGTTGAGGGTTTGCAACCCGGCCGTTTTGGTGAATTTCTGACAGAGACTCAAAAGCCGCAAGCGACGTATTCTGGCGCCTCTTCTCGGAAAGGACCTCCGGAATCCTCCGGTGCTGCTTTGAACGCAGAAGACATCTTGCGATAGAGGCGATCTCAGCTTCGTGCTCTCATGGAGCCCGAGGAGCACCTTCAAACTACGTTTCATACAAGTCCGACACCTTGGCTGTGTGGCACTGCAGCTTCACACATCTTTGCATGATATGCAGCGCGACGGGCAACAGCAGCTCACATGTCGTCATTACCGTCACAAGCAGCATCATTACCATTAGCTCAAAGCGTGCAAGTGGGCTGACATGTCGAATGTGTATGGCATAGGATATTTAGTCCTAAACCCTAAACTCAACCCTGCAAACCTCTGTTCCCATCAGGAAAGACGTGGAATTCTGTGTTGAAGATCCGGTTAGAAAGAAACCACGACCCCAACAAAACGGCCAGAAGACTAGACCCACAGAGTCCCCAAGAGCCGTATCATCGACCAGGGATTAGGGTTAAGGCTTTATAGAGTCTCTGAGGGCAAAAGCTTCTGGAGATAGCCGTGTCGTGTAGAAGCAGAAGAAGGTTTAGGGTTGGTAAGGGTTTAGGGTTTAGGGTTTAGGGTTTAGGGTTTAGGGTTTAGGGTTTAGGGTTTAGGGTGGAGGCACTTCAGAGAAACCTCCTTCAAACAGGGTTGGTAAGGGCCCAGGCGGCTTAGTTCTGGACCACACCCATGAAGCCCTAAACCCACAACAGGAACCCAACATGGCACGGCTTGTCCTTCCGAAGTAGGAGACAAAGAAGGAGCAGCAATTCTTCTCAGCATCCTTATAGCATCCCTGTACATTCACTCATACAGAAACCGGCCAATAAACTAGAAATCCTCATAAAGCCTTAACCCCTAAACCCCTAAACCCCTAAACCCCAAACCCTAAACCTCTAAACCCTAAACCCTTAAGCCCTAAACGCTAAACCCCTAAACCTGGGTAGCCCGACCCCATGAGCCCCAGGCGGTTCTGGATGTTTGGTGGTTCGACCTCCGGAAGTCGGCTGCCAAGGGTGGGCTTGTAGGGTTTAGGGTTTGGGGTTTAGGGGTTTAGGGGTTTAGGGTTTGGGGTTTAGGGGTTTAGGGTTTAGGGTTTGGGGTTTAGGGTGTAGGGTTTAGGGTTTGGGGTTGATAAGGTCTGACTCCCCCTTGAGTGGGATAGACTGCTAGAAGGGTTACTTTCGTGGCTGTAGAAGAGTGTATATAGTATGGCATGACTACGATAAGGGTTACTAAAATGTGGGAATCATGTCCGATCAGGACACGGGTTCGCATAATGCGGTCAAAGCAGTGTCGTATAGAAGCCGAAGGGCTGACTGTTTACTCACGTTTAATGTTTAGCAGGGGCACTACCTGAGTCACACTAGGCTGTCGGGGTATATAAGAGTACTGTAGAGTATATAATCGAATACAGGGTTCTCAAGGGCATGTGATACTGTTGCTCGCGCGGTTTTGTCAGAGGTTTAGGGTGTCTGGGGTTGAAGTGTTCGTTTTTGTCCTTGCGGCAAACTCCGAAGAACGGTGTGCTGCACAGCTGCCACGTTATATGCACTTGTTAACAATGTGTGTATATATATATATACATATATATATATATATATTTATATTTATATTTATATCTATATTTATATTTATATGTATACATATGCATATGCATATATGTGTGTGTATACACATACATTTATCCACATTTATGTCGCTTCAAAGGTCAAGCAGAGAGCGTCAGCAATTAGGGGCAGTGCGCCAAGTGTCAGCATCGAAGCGGGCTTAGGGTTTAGGAATTTACTTTAGGGGTTTAGGGTTTGACTTGGGTTTAGGGCCCAGGGTTCACTCAGGCGTCAGGATGTGGGGCGCAGGGAGGAGATTGGAAGCCTATGCTGTTTGTGTCATTGCTGCTGGCACTACTTGCTCAGCCTTTTGTGGGCACCCCTAAACCCTAAACCCTAAAAGAGCAAGTCCACTTCTTAGCCCAGCATGCTAAAGCTCACAAACCCTCATGTAGCCGAAAAAAGCCTCCCTTTTTGGGTGTTCCTTCATATGGTTTCCATGTGGCTCCAAAAAAGGGTAGGTTGGCCCACAGGTAGTTTTCCAAGCCTGAAAAGCTGCCACCATTGTCCCCTAGGACTCCTCAGTGCTGCTAATGCTGGAATACTTGGAGGGTCGGGGGACTTAGTAAGTAGCTAATGAGTAGACTTATAAGTACCCTAAAAGGGACCCTGATTGGGGTTATGATGCTTATAAGTCTATAAATGAACTAGTTACTAAGTCCCCCGACCCTCCAAGTACACTCCAAAAACCTCCCTTCCAATGGTTCAGCCCTTATTGCCTTGGACCACGAGTTTTTTGTGGGGTCTGAACTTGGCTTGTTTTGGGGCCCCACACAAACAGCAAAGGAACATATGAGGGTTTAGGGGTGTTTAGGGTTTAGGATTTGAGTTTAGGCTTTGTAGCTCTAGGGGTTAGTCCACGGCATTCCTGGGATTCTTTTCCCCCAGGCGATCTCGAGAATGACCTTTGGTACATGGACGTGGAGGTCCGATTCACAGCAGTGACTCGCTTTTCTGAGCCGAGCTTAACGAAGCCAGCCCCACACCCTAAACCCTAAACCCTAAACCCTAAACCCTAAACCCTAAACCTTAAACCCTAAACCCTAAACCCTAAACCCTAAACCCTAAACCCTAAACCCTAAACCCTAAACCCTGTACCTGGAACCTCG